TGAATAGTAAAGTGGTTGAGCCGCCCTCGTGCACTGTTCATATTCCGAATTTGAATAGTAACCACGAATTTGAATAGTGAATTTGAATTTGAATAGTGCTGTGAATAGTAACTCGAGATCTCAGGATTTGAATTTCGAATCCGTTCGAGTTCTCAGTGAATACGGTGCCCCGTCGCAGTGGTATCAGAGTCTGGTTATTATATTTTGAATTTAAGGGATTTACCATAATATTCTGAAGATTGAAAAGTTACATTATCTAAATTTAGAAGTGAATACAGGAAAGACTGTAAACACTAAAGAGAATATAAATATAAGGTGCAGACTAAATAGCTCTGAAGAACATACTTGGCATACCTCTCACGGACAGATAAATTTAATAGTTGATTTGATACATAACTTTTACATATCTTGGGGAAAGAGGCAAGACGATCTAGAATTAAAATTTGATAGACTGCAAAAAGAACATAAGCACCTTGAAGAGCAATATTCAGCTACCAATAATAAATTAGAATTGGCTTTACAAATTTTAGAAGAGAGTAAAGTTTCTCTAGGAAGAATTAGCCAGAATAGTGATTATATTAAAAAGGATATAACTTATCTATATAAGAAGACTGATAATATTGTTGAGCATAACAAAGAAATTGTGTTGTCATCAGCAGGAATAGTTGAGTCCACTAGATCTTTAAACTCAGATAGATGGAAGTACCTGAGAGCCTCTCTAGAAGAGACAAGTCACTCCAACTAGTAAATAAAGACATAAGACCTCTAAGTTTTAAAGATAAACTAAAAGGAGGATGTGAGGATATTGAAACTTTAGAAGAAGTGATAGACTTAGAAAGAGATCTTGAAAGATATCAGAAAGATACTTTAAGAAAAATAAGGCCTCAACAAATATATCAAATGGGTTGGTTTGAAAATAAAAATGGATTATATAGAATATCTAGAGAAGTAGAATTAAGTGTAGTGACAGAACCAGTTCTGCTAAGAATTGTTAGTAAACAATTTGAAAATGCTTTAAAATATTCAGGGTATAAATATATACATCAGGGAATGTATATCATTGGAATTAAAGGAATGACAAGGAAGAAATTAGGAACCAAGGTTCTAATAACTTTATTAGACAAAAGATGGGACTCAATAAATAAAGCAGCATTAGGATTTTTAGAAGGTGATATGAATGAAAATATGTTGATAACATATATAGCTCCAGACTTAATAATGCCGGTTAAAGAATTTATAGATAAGATGGCATTCGGATTTCAAACTAAAGGATATGAAGAATTTAAAGGAACGAATCTACTAGTAAGCATAGAATTTATAGGGAGGTTAACCAACAGAAGTGGAACCAGATATAAGGTAAATGTGAACAATGTTGTAGAAAGTATACAATCTAAAGGAATAAAATTTATGAGTCCTCTAAAAATAAGTTCTGAAGAAAAAGCAGGAGAAGAATGGAATATAAGCTCATTAATAGAGCCAAAAATTTTAAAACAACCTAAAGATTACATAAGCTATGAAAATAATAGAGGGTTGACTAGTATTAGGTTTGTAGATTATAAAGAATAGAGTTTAGATGATTTAGAAGCATCCAGTTCAGAGGCAAAATTGGAAGAAAACAGAAGGCATAGCATATGTGAATTTATGGAAAAATTAGATATAGATAATGAAATAAATCATTATAAGCAAAAGCTAAGCAAAATTCATGATGAATACAAAAACTCTATGATATGTAAATGGGCTGCTATAAGAGAAAAAGAACTCTATTTTAGACGAGAAATATGTAGACTTGATAATATCAAGAAAGATAGAGAATTAAATGCTAAGAAATTTAGCATTCCAATAAAGAAAAATGACTTTGTGTCAAAACAAATAGATAACAGGGTAAGAGATAATATATATTACAATACATATACATATTACATGCCATGATTTGGGCGTGGAAGACCATACCAAAGAATATCCAGAAGGATACTATCCGTGCGCGATGGAGGACAGCGCAAAAGGAATATACAGTCACTCTACTATAGCCAGGACAATTATTCTCCGTCCAGCTGTCCAGGCAACAGTACGAAAAGATAATTGAAGACTTCGCCTCGAAGGCTTCTTCTGACGATAAGGCTCGCTCCTTCGGAAGATAAGAATGAAGGGCACTTCCTTCATGCTATAAAGGAGGACGTCGGGCGCATTCATTCATCATCGAAGCATCGAAGAAGCAACACAACCACTATCATCCACCACCCACTCCACCAACTCTCCATCCACACACATACACCATGAACACATGATCTCAGAAGCACTCTGAGGATCATCCACCATTAGTAGTAATCACTCCACCTACCGTTGTATCACTCCACCTTTATAATATATATATATATATATATATATATATATATATATATATATATATATATATATATATATACTACCTGTAGCTGGCTACAAAATAACTTATTCTGTAGCCACTTTGAGTTACGATAATTACTATGTTAATTTACGAGATTATAGTAACTCCTTACTAAGTGGTTTACTATAACATTATGATAAATATCCCCATGTATTATAGTAACCTAATTATCGTAAATATGTATTAACATTATTGTAAATTAGTATATAAAATTATTGTAAATGGAGGTGACTACAGAATAACTTATTTTTGTAGCTGGTTAATGAATATAATATATATATATATATACACACACACACACACACACACACCAAGCTGATTTCGTGTGCAAGGACAAAGATACATCGCACATGGCGGTTCAAAACCTCGTCGCCCTGATTTTTGCGACGCTACTACTGCTTCTCAGAAGAAGCTCCGGCGCCGGCGCCGGCATTTCGTCGGACACGCTGAACAGCGGGGGCAACATCACCGATGGAGAGACGCTGCTCTCCGCCGGTGGCTCATTCACCCTGGGTTTCTTCTCCCCGTCGACCACGGTGCCAACCAAGAGGTACCTCGGGATCTGGTTTACGGAGTCAGGTACGGACGCCGTCTTGTGGGTGGCCAACCGCGACACCCCGCTAAACAGCTCCTCCGGCGTCCTGGTGATGAGTAGCCGGGTGGGCCTTCGCCTTCTCGACGGCTCTGGCCAGACCGCCTGGTCCTCGAACACGACCGGCGCCTCTGCCTCTTCGGTGGCACAGCTGCTCGAGTTCGGCAACCTCGTCGTGCGCGAGCAGAGCAGCAGCGCCAGCGCCGCCTTCCAGTGGCAGTCGTTCGACCACCCGTCGAACACCTTGCTCGCCGGCATGAGGTTCGGCAAGAACCTGAAGACCGGCCTGGAGTGGTCCCTCACGTCGTGGCGGGCGAAGGACGACCCTGCGACGGGGGCCTACCGTCGGGTCATGGACACAAGGGGCCTGCCGGACATCGTCACATGGCAAGGCAGCGCCAAGAAGTACCGCGCCGGCCCGTGGAACGGTCGCTGGTTCAGCGGCGTGCCGGAGATGGATTCACAGTACAAGTTGTTTTACATCCAGATGGTGGACGGCCCCGACGAGGTCACCTACGTCCTCAACACCACGGCCGGCACGCCCTTCACCCGCATCGTGCTGGACGAGGTTGGCAAGGTGCAGGTCCTGTTGTGGATCCCGTCCAGCCGGGTGTGGAGGGAGTTCCCATGGTTGCCTCGGGACGCCTGCGATGACTACGCGTCGTGCGGCGCGTTCGGCCTGTGCAACGTCGACGCCGCGTCGGCGCCGTCCTGCAGCTGCGCCGTGGGGTTCAGCCCCGTGAACGCGTCGGAGTGGTCCAGGAAGGCAGCCTCCGGCGGGTGCCAGAGGGACGTGCCGCTGGAGTGCGACCGCAACGGGACGGTGACGACGGACCGGTTCACGCCTGTGCACGGCGTGAAGCTCCCTGACACGGACAACGCGACGGTGGACATGGGCGCGACGCTGGAGCAGTGCAGGGCGAGGTGCCTCGCCAACTGCTCTTGCGTGGCCTACGCCGCCGCTGACATCCGAGGCGGAGGCGGTGGCCATGGCTGCGTCATGTGGAAGGATAACATCGTTGATGTCAGGTACATACAAAATGGGCAGGATCTCTATCTGAGGTTGGCCAAGTCTGAATCAGGTAAGGAAACACTGAAGCAGTAACCTACTATCTCAGTCAAGATTCTGAGGCAAAATCCATCATCTTATCAGCTACGATTAATACTTCCTGTAATACATTTCTGCCGCTACAGGGAAGAGGGGGCATGTGGCAAAAATCTTTGTTCCGGTGATGGCGTCTGTGCTTGTACTCACGGCCGCTGGCCTGTACCTTGTTTGGATATGCAAGCTTAGAGGTACAATCAGACTATCAGAGAGAGCAACTTCACCACGAAGAGCAATTCAGGCACAATATTTCTGCACTAGTGTAAGGTTTATTAATAACAATTGGAATTGTTTTTCCTATCAGCCAAACGTCGGAACAAGGATAATTTGAGGAAAGCGATCCTAGGATACTCGACTGCGCCATACGAACTCGGTGATGAAAATGTAGAGCTTCCATTTGTCAGCTTTGAAGACATTGCAGCAGCAACAAACAATTTTTCTGAGGACAATATGCTCGGGCAAGGTGGCTTTGGGAAGGTTTATAAGGTTAGGAAAAGAAATACATCTTTTAAATAAACTGTAGAAATGTGAGAATTATGGCACTGCTTGTTCAATTTAATAATGGTGAAACAATTCAGGGTGCGCTGGGACAGAACATAGAAGTTGCAGTCAAAAGGCTCGGTCAAAGTTCAGGACAAGGTGCAGAGGAATTCAGAAATGAAGTTGTTCTGATTGCAAAATTGCAGCACAGGAACCTGGTTAGGCTTCTTGGATGCTGCATGGATGGAGATGAGAAGTTGCTGATTTATGAATACTTACCAAACAGAAGCTTGGATTCCATTATTTTTGGTATGTATGAACTTATATTTTCGAGTATTTTAAAAAAACATTCTTTTCGCAAAAAGAAAAAAGAAAAGAGAAACATGTGACATGGTTACCTTTGGAACTGCTTAATTTAGATGCTGCAAGTAAGTATCTCCTTGATTGGCCAACACGTTTCAAGATAATCAAAGGAGTATCTAGAGGGCTTCTTTATCTCCACCAGGATTCAAGGTTGACTATAATTCACAGAGATCTTAAAACAAGCAACATACTGTTGGACACGGATATGAGCCCGAAGATATCAGATTTTGGTATGGCAAGAATCTTTGGTGGAAACCAGCATGCGGCAAATACTAATCGTGTTGTTGGGACATAGTGAGTAATCATAGACTTGGCTTTCAAAGTGAATTCTTTTTCCCTATATACTTACTCATATTGTTTATTTCTTTTGAGCAGTGGTTACATGTCTCCTGAATATGCAATGGATGGCGCGTTTTCTGTCAAGTCAGATACATATAGTTTCGGAGTCATAGTCTTGGAGATTATAAGTGGCTTGAAGATCAGTTTAACTCACTGCAAGGGCTTCCCTAACCTACTGGCTTATGTAAGTGCGCGCTTATGCTTAATTTTTTTGTCACAATTCAAACAAAAGCTTTCTAATTTCTATAAGATTTGATCCCATTGGCTCATCAGGCATGGAGCTTATGGATAAACGACAGAGCGACAGATCTTGTGGACTCATCCGTGGCTCAGCGTTGTTCCTACAGTGAAGCTTTACGGTGTATCCAGATAGGACTATTGTGTGTGCAAGACAATCCAGATAGTAGGCCACTTATATCGTCGGTGGTGACCATGCTTGAGAATGAAACCACACCAGTTCCGGTACCAATACAGCCAATGTATTTCTCATACCGGGGAACAACCCAAGGGACTGACGAAAATACTAGCAGTTCTATGAATAACATGAGCCTCACAACGGTGTTAGAGGGACGCTAGTTGTTTGTATGTCCGTTTCTGGAACAGAGATGTGCAATAGTGCATTAGTAGCTTATTTGTTTTAGAGAAGTTATATAGTGATATTACATGAAAGATGCAACAGTGCAAATTTTAAAATTAGTAGCAACTATGGTACTTCACTGCAGAGTAGCTTGATGTTAGGGGCTAATTATTGGGCCTTATGGGCCATGGACTGATGTAGTTCAAGCGGATACATCAGAGTACAAAGGCTATACCAGAATGAATATAGCCCGTGTTACATATTCATCCAGTGCGAATCTCTAATTGCCAGTTTCTTGTACAATAGACTGGTTGACCTCTTTTTTTTTTGTTCTGTTGTACACCAAGTTTTGGCATCTCCAACACTCTTTCTAATGGTAACGGTGAATGATTGTAAATCTATGTTTTTTTAAGAGTTTCTCCAGCCGATGTTCTTTCAGTGTGTACTAGATCTTGTCAGAGCCAGCGGTGAGTGGCTTTTGCGGTCTTCAAAACTTATTTGGCAAGGGTGTTTACAGGTGTTCCTTTTTCTTTGTTGTCTTTTCAGTGTGATTCTTGTAACACCTCGGGTGTTACGAGCTCGCTAAGCACTGGGATTATGGCCTGAGAGATAGATCTATTAATATAGTGAGTTAATTACGTAAATGCCTATATGTGTTAAATGAAAAATCATAACGTGAAGAGTAGAATAAGTAGTTCTAAACATTGTCAAGGAAGCAATTTTTATAAGCAAAAATTAAATATAATTTGTATGTAGCACTTGAATAAAGTTTAGAGTGTAAGTGTAATAGATGGAAATGCATCATTAATTTTTGGAGAATAAATACTATTAGTTAGTAATTTGGGAAGTTCAACAAAATCAAACTTGAAATTTGGAAGGGTCATTTTCGTTGCCAACAAGCACTTGAGCTTATGTTTAAAAGTATCCTTCTTTAGCAAATTATATTGGACAAACTAATTAGGAAGTGCTTGGATATTATGTTTCTAAGAGTTAGTATGTAGTATGGGCTAGGTCGTGGTACAATTGTTAGTTGAATCCGGCAAGGTTTAGCCCCTTTCAAAATTAAGGCAAAAGCACTAAAGGTTGTTAGTTCTAACTAAGCCCTTACTCTATCTAAGTCGGAAAAGAATCATAGACAATGTCATTTTGACATTTAAAATTCAACAAAAATGATTATGCAATACATCTACGTTTTTGCACGATTGGTTGCATTTAGGTGTATACTAGAACGTGGTGCAGGTCGTGGTTACATTAGAGTTACGATGCTCATGCAAAAAAATTGCCGAATTTCATAAGAACGCGCTGTGAGCATGTGGTTGGTGCTTTGTTCACGAACCGAAGTTTCAGCGACGAACTGATCTTGGCACTCGTTGATCTTCCTCTATAGTCACTTTCGGAATGTGGGATTTGCTTCGCTAACCAGTGGATAGTGCCGGCTTTGGGTTAGAGTAATTGGTTGAATTTTAGTCGAGTTAGTCAATAGTTTTTTATTCGCTTTAAAACTCGTGCACGTCACCACTCACTCTGCTTTGGCCTGAGCCCCGCGGTCACCGCGCGAGCACGCCGCCGCTGCCTGGTCGCTCCTGGCCGTGGTCGCTGCCTCGCGGGCCGTTCTCGCTGGCTACTGGCCGCACATCAGGTTGTGTTGGCCCAGCCGTCTCCCGTGGGACTGGGCATTTCTACGGTGCTGCTCCCACGCGGCTGCCGCTAGGGCGCTGTCGGCCAAGCCGTGCGCAGGACCATGCCGGCACCGCGACAGTCGTCGCCTGGCCGTCGTGGCTTCCGTTGCGCCACTCATTTTACCAACCCACCGAGTCGCCGTTTGTCTCGGCTGTCTCCTAGTGTTGCCATCTTGCCACCGCTGTTCGGCCGTCCAAGCGCCTTTGTCGCCTAGACGCGTAGTGCCGATGCCTTTGCTTGTCCTATTTCCGCCCTTATCCCCTCACTAGGCGACGCGTCTCTGCTACCGCTCGCACGGCCATGTCCCCGCACGGCTGTGCCCTTGTCATGTCTTGGTCGGTCCATGCTAAGTCGAGGCCGCAGGCCACGACATAGCAGCGGTGGTGCGCCATTCCCTTCATAATCTGCAGCTCAAAGCTTTCCAGTCCAATTCCTCGCGTCAGTGAGTAGAATAGGAAGTTAGTTGGACGTCCCATTCTCGTAGAGCTCCGCCATGGTCTTTTGGTGGTCAATTTCGGGTTTTCCTCGCCGCCGGTCCTCCCTTCGCCGTGGGATGGTACGTGTGGGGGTAAGGCGTTACAATTGGTTTTAGTTCGATTCAATTAGGATATAGACTCATCTTAATATTGTTAAAATATGAACTTGTGGGAATTTTTGTGAGAAAATGGTGATAGTGTCGACTCTGGAAATTTTACAGTAAATTCCTAATATTATTAGCTGCTCACTGTAATTTTTGTAGCACAAGAATAATTATTTTGCTAGATAGATAATGATGCCCTATTTCGAATGAATATTAAATTGATAGAATGGAATAAAGAAACAATTTAGGTTTGTATAACTAAAATACTCATTGGGAAATAACATCTTGTTCGACAATGTGGATACGTAGCCTAAGTATGATCGTCGTTAGAACTAGCTCGTTAGCTTAAGAGGCGTAAATCGTATTTTACAAGTCACGGTTGCGGTTGGTTGTTTACGTCTCTGCATTGCATCCATGTATACCATAATAGGAACAATGATTGATCATGGAGTCGACCGGAGTAACGGAAAGGTGGTGTCTTGAGGATCGTGTCGCCCCGATGGAATGTTAATTTTGATTATATCTTACCCAGGCAAGCCCAGGTGCATAACCCCTATTATTCTGCGCTTTAATTTATGCTTGTGCATTAAGTTTAAGGAGTTGAATGAAACCCACTTACACATATATACCATTATTCTATGAGTCCTACTAGTATGATAGGATCGTGTAGATTGCTATAACATGTGCTTTCCCCTAGTATATAAAATGAAAAGCAAGGCGCTCCATTGAAAGGCATCGGATAACCAATCGGATCGATTCAAGTCAGGTCCGAACAAACCCATCGAACCCCGAACACACGGCTAAGCAGCAACCGAGCTCTCTCAGTACCCGTTCACTCCTTTCACCAGAGACTAAGGACCCGTCCCTCTCTCGCCCGTTTGTAACCCCTACTACGAACTTTCAGTGCTAGTAACACGAGCAGCAGCAACGAACTGGACGTAGGGACATTCTACCCGAACCAGTATAAACCTCGTGTCCTCTAAGCACACCATCTGAGTCAGACGCGTAATATTAGAAATTTACTAGTCGGTGGTGACTCGAATCACCGACAACTAGTGGTGACAGCAATGACAAGACTTCTGTACCTTCCAGCCCTGACCTCCTTTGCCTCACAACATCCGCCGCCGCCACTGCATCTGACACGCTCAACAACGGTGGCAACGTCACCAATGGTGCACGCTGGTCTCATCCGGCAGCACCTTCACCCTGGGCTTTTTCTCCCAGGCCGGCGTGCCAGCCAAGAGATACCTTGCATTTGGTTCACCGCGTCCCCGGATGCCGTCTGTTGGGTGGCCAACCGCGACACCCCCCTCAACAACACCTCGGGCGTACTGGTGGTCGGCAGCACCGGGAGCCTTCGCCTTCTCGATGGCTCTGGCCACGCCGCGTGGTCTTCCAACACGACGACGAGTAGTTCCGCTCCAGCCGTGGTGCAGTTGCTTGACTCCGGCAACCTTGTCGTGCGCGAGCAGAGCAGCGGTGACATGCTCTGGCAGTCGTTCGATCACCCATCGAACGCCTTGCTCGCCGGCATGAGAATCGGCAAGGACCTGCAGACTGGCGCGGAGTGGTCCCTCACGTCGTGGCGTGCATCGAACGACCCGACGACCGGGGAGTGCAGGCTTGTGATGGACACTATGGGGCTCCCGGACATCGTCTCGTGGCAAGGAAACGCCAAGAAGTACCGAACGGGCCCCTGGAACGGCCTATGGCTCAGCGGCGTCCCGGAGATGGCGAGGGTGTCGAACTCGGATCCGTACTCCAACCAGGTCGTCGTCCGCCCCCACGAGATCGCATACATCTTCAACACCTCGGCCTACGCGCCCTTCTCCCGCCTCGTGTTGAATGAGGTCGGCGTGCTGCAGCTACTGGCGTGGGATCTGACCAACCTGGTGTGGGACGTCTTCTCGCAGTCGCCGAAGGACATCTGTGACGACTACGCCAAGTGCGGCGCTTTCGGCCTGTGCAACGTGAACTCGAAGCCCACGCTGTTCTGCAGCTGCGTCGTGGGGTTCAGCCCCATGAACCCCTCGCAGTGGTCCTTGAGGCAATACGGAGGCGGATGCCGGAGGAATGTGCCGCTGGAATGCCACGGCAACGGGACGACGATGGACGGGTTTATGGTGGTGCGGGCAGTGAAGCTCCCTGACACGGACAACGCGACGGTGGACATGGGCGCGACGGTTGAGCAGTGCAGGGCGAGGTGCCTCGCCAACTGCTCCTGCATCGCCTACGCCACCGCCGACATCCGAGGAGACGGTGATGGCAGTGGCTGCGTCATGTGGACGAATTACATTGTTGACATCCGGTACGTAGACAAGGGGCAGGATCGTCTCTACCTAAGGTTGGCCAAGTCTGAATTTGATATAGGTAAGCACCAATTTCGTTTGTATTAAAGAGAAATCCTATATTTTTTTCTAGGTAAATATTCTTGCATAAGAAGAATCATCCAGTCTCCTAAAAGTTTCTGGCTCTGCTACTTCCTATCAGCTGTAAACCTGTTTCATCATCTGTTCGACAAATTTCTGCAGTTAAAAGGAAGAGGAGTGTTGTGGCAAAGATCGTGTTTCCAGTCACAGCATCTCTGCTAGCAGCCATGGCTGCAGGCATGTACCTTGTTTGGATATGCAAGCTTAGAGGTAAACACACTTTGCTACAAGAAAGTCAAGTCTTTAGTTTTTTGGGCGTTTTCTTTTTTCAACAGTTCTTATAACATGGGTTTGCAAGTTTTAAGTTAGTCCCCCTGGTGGTCTCCGTTTTCAGTGCTTTCTTTCCTTTTTGTAGTTTTTATATGCGTCCCGGGGACGGCGTGTCTCTTTGTAAATAACCTTTTCCTTTTTATTCTACTAATAAAATCTCGACAAAGCTTTTGTCGACCCTTAAAAAAAATTCATAGTGCATATATTAGATAATCTCCCTGAGATTAATTGATTAGTGGAGGTCTCTGTTAGAGTAAACTAGGTGAATTCCCCGCGCGTTGATGCGGGGATTTGTTGGATAATTATAGAGATAAATTATATAAATTAGAATGATAATGAAAGATACATATAGCACTATTTAGAAACTCACACAGCTGAGTTATTAATAGTTGATCACTGGCGGTGGCAGATAGTAGTTTAGTAGTAGTTTTTTACTCAACTGGATAATGATTCCATGAGAACCTTCAGATTCCATTGCAAAGGATGTGAAAGTGCATAGTTATTTTGAAAAATAGTTTAGCTCTTCATCCGTATGAGAACAGTTAGCGGCTGACCATATATAGATCATGACTTGAAGTTCGAAACCCGGAACAAATCAAAGATTCAATTAAACTCTGGTGGGGATAAAAAAATTAAAAGAGATATTATCATGGAAGAAACCTAGAAAAAGTAATACTAAACAATTATTTGTTCTGATAGGCTTAAAAACAATGAGGATCTCGTTGTCCAATGAAAAGCGAAAGTGGACAATGAATTACTACCTCAACAACTGACGGCAGCAATGGTCGACGGAATAGCAGCCATGGGCCATGGCTGGTCGATCGTGCGGATTGATCTGCGGCGTCTTCTCGTCGCCTCTCTTTCTCAAGTTCTGACGACATGCTGAGCGTGCACTCTGCGTTCCCGTCCTGCCTCCAACTCGCCACGCGGCATGCTCGTCCGCCATGCTCGCACCTTGTGAACCCCAGTAGTCCCGGCGCCGCCCGCCCGCCCGCATTGCACGCTCGCTGTCTCGCGGGAGGTGGGAGAGACCCGTCTATCGCTATGCCTCGAGCCACTAAGCCTGGCCGACCGGTGCTGGGTGGGGCAGGGCACTGACTTGGCATCTCCCAACCCCGCTGCCCACCTGCCGTCTCCGCACAGCGCTGGTTCGTGCATTGGATCGCTGGATGAGCACACGGAAGCAAACACCTTGCCGGCTTGCTTGTGTATTATATACCTTGGAAAAGCCAAAGTGACGGGACTTTTCAGATCCAGCAGTGGAGCGAGGTTTGCTGCTGGTCACCCCCGAGTTATAAACACCATTGAAGCACTACGGTGAAGGAATAAGAAACGGGCAGTCTCCAATCGGCAGCATGTAGAAAGTACTAAATTGCTGATGCTTAGTGGATGAAAACTAAATGCCATGCATGCTTAGTGGCCAGGGTGGAGGACGATGGATGGCCAGTCGGGTGTGGATGACGTGGCTCAAGGAGATACTAGATAAATAAGTTAATGGAGTTTTGCTTTATAAGAGTTATATAGATATAATAGTACCACATTGTGTATCCACGTGAGGTGTTAGTCCTATGTACCCTATATAATCAGCCCATAAGGCTCAATGCAATGCATCCAATATTCCAGCAATTATATTCTTCTTCATGGTCTCATTCGCCTAGGTTTAGATCCTAACCCTAGTCACCCCCGTTTCCGCACCGTGCGCCCCCGGGGAGAGGTCGATCTCCACCGGGGGCAGCGTCCCTGTCGACAAAAATGATCGGCAGTCCACCGAGGGGTATCCCGCAATGGTAGATTTGTCGGTGGAGGTGCGCATAATCAGGAACCGGATGGTGCCACAAGGCGCAGATACAGCGATTTAGATAGGTTCGGGCTATCTGATCGACGTAATACCATACGTCCTGTGTCTTTATTGTATTGTATTGAATATGGGATGTATGTAGATGTCGACTAGGGGACCCCTGCCACTCCTTATATACTCTGGAGGGGTAGGGTTACAAGAAAAGTATCCTATTTGATACTATACCATATCTTGCGGTGCACATCGACCAGTGTCGTGCACGTCTTAATCTTGTGGGCTGGGCCATCTCTGATGGTGTGGCCCATGTCTTGTCTTATGGATACCGGGGGTCATATCCCCACAGCTAGTCCCCAAGCGCCTTATATCCTTTGAGCAACGCTGTCTTGAACAAGTCCGAGCACTTTGACGTGAAGCCGATCAGTTTAACTTGTGATCCGAGCAGTGGAAGTCGAAACCGATCAGTTTAACTGGTGACCTGGGCGGTGAAAGACATTGCCGACCAGTTTAACTGGTTAGGAGATCTCGAACTTAGCCAAGTAAGGCTTGCTAGAAAGATGTAAGGGGCTCAAGATAAAATTTGAAAATTCTTCCACTTAGGAGATGTGTAGCCACTTAGACTCCGTCAATAAGCAGGATAACTCAAGAAATAAGTACTACATTCACCGCTAGGTGAAGTGTAGCCACTTAATCCCCGAGCCTGCTAAAAGATGAAGAATGAATCTTATAGCAGGGTCGAAGAAAAGACGTCTGAAAGCTTACCGACGTCATCTGACATACGCGTATTAAGACCCTAGACGTGCCGTCCAAGATCAGCACCCTGATCCGAACAGCATGGAGCAGCTTGATAGCACACCGATGAGACGTAGGAAGATCCGACCATCAAGGGAGCCCTCAGCTTAGCTGGCGATGCTTGCACGAAGAATCCGAATACCGAGGAGTCCCCGGCGTAGCTGGCGATGTCCGAGCGCCGATGAGTCCCTGGCGTAGCTGATGATGAAGCACGAGCGGTGAAGTGAGCATCGAGTAGAAGTGATCGGTGAACAGTCCGATCAACTGGTCGGTGATGAAGTCCATGAACCTAGCAGTCCGACCAGTTGATCGATGGAGAAGTCCGAGCATCAGGTGGTCCGATCAACTGGACGATGATTCTGCAATACAAATATGTAGAACGGGTAGCACATGATGTAAAAATATATGAACTCCGGAGAAGAATCAACAACGGTGATAAAATAGCGTATGCAACTCGATGATCAATTGGTGTGAACACTTAGTGTTATTCTGAAGATGTGTTTATATTTAATATAAATCGCTCGACCAGTTAGTGTGTAGCTGAGTCTCCAGCCCTAGCTAGCCTGCTAACCATAACGCGGAGCGTGGAGCCCGTGTGCGTGTAGGAAGAACAAAACGTCGCTAAGGAGCCACTGCCGACCATCCATAACGCAGAGGGCAGACACTCGTGCACGTGTACGGAGGAGCTAGAGACAGGGCCGTCTCTGGGGACATCTGAGCGTCAACCTGACTGTTCGGGGATTTATCTTAGGCTTAGTTGTATGTCATCTTTAAGATGGTATACATGAAAGAAAATCGTTTGGTGAACAAATATGGAGAAAACAGGTAGGAGAAACATCATGGCGATATATGAAGATTGGAGAATATTTAGAAGAATATTAAAGCGTGACATAGCTTTAGACAGAACGTCTGGTCGGCGGCGTATGGCGTTATCTGGTCGGCGTTGACGAAATTGCCCGGCCCTCAAGCTTTCCGAACTGTCGTCATGGTGGCGGTCGCGGTTGTCATAGCGCCTTTCTTCGTGGCGATCATCATTGCGACGCAGCATGGCTCGTTTGGTGGCTCGGGTGGCTCGCTTGGTGGCTCGGGTGGCTCGCATAGTGGCTTGCGCCTCCGCTTGACCTCGCAAAGCTAAGTCAATTTTTTAATCTTCAATCTAATATTCCTATGATATAGTACGTGTCCAGATATCTACATATACACATGATTATTTTGGTAGGAATCCAACTACGCTCGTCGTCGTTCTGCGTCGTCTCGCATTGGTGACACGGATCTCGTCGTGCGGAGAAGCCCACGAAGATCAGAAGCAGAGAGGAGGACGAGGACACTGTGTTCACCCACCAACTCCTGCTCCAACGCGGCCGACGCTCCTGAGGTGTTCCACAAACTGGAGGCGCGCTACATCAAGGACGATCGGCTGTGGATCCGCTGCCCCGTCTGCATCGAGTGGAGTCGGATCCGACCAGGACCAAAGATGGCAAGCAAGAAAGCTAATTAAGGAAATAATAAAGATATTGACGATCATGCATGTTCGTCAGGCATGCAAGGCATGGAATAATTTTTCCATGCTTGCCTATGCTTGCATGATCCGTCGCAAGTCCAATCTCCTAAAATGATGGCTCCACGCCTGAAGAAAATGCAGTTCCGAGTCCGAGTCCATCGGGCACGTAACCTGCATCGACTCCAGCTGAAGCACTACATGCAAGCAAATAAGGCGGACTCCAATGTACGGGATCAACAGCCACCCAGCTGAGCCACCGAGCAAGCCACTATGCGAGCCACCCAATTAGCTTTCTTGCTTGCCATCTTTGGTCCTGGCCGGATCCGACTCCACTCGATGCAGACGGGGCAGCGGATCCGCAGCCGATCGTCCTTGATGTAGCGCGCCTCCAGTTTGTGGAACACCTCAGGAGCGTCGGCCGCGTTGGAGCAGGAGTTGGTGGGTGAACACAGTGTCCTCGTCCTCCTCTCTGCTTCTGATCTTCGTGGGCTTCTCCGCACTACGAGATCCGTGTCACCAATGCGAGACGACGCAGAATGACGACGAGCGTAGTTGGATTCCTACCAAAATAATCATGTGTATATGTAGATATCTGGACACGTACTATATCATAGGAATATTAGATTGAAGATTAAAAAAATTGACTTAGCTTTGCGAGGTCAAGCGGAGGCGCCGACCGATTGACTGCTGGAGAATTGCTCCATGGATGACATACATTTATACGCATGCATTGCTTCACTCTGGTTGGCCTGCATGGTCATCCTGGACATGCATAGCGGCTAGGAAAACTAATCTGGAACTTGCCATCAGATCTTGTCCGTCAAGGGGTGTAGATGCCGTAAAAGACTTGGTCAGCTGGAAACTGGCTCCAGAGCAGATAACCACTTACCAATGTAACCCATCTGGTTCGTTGTGGGATCAACACGCACACCCCCGACCTGGCGCGGCAACTGTCGCCAAAAGATGCTCGGCAGTCCATCGAGGGGTATCCCGCGATGGTAGATTTGTCGGTGGGGGTGCGCGTAATCAGGAACCGGATGGTGACACAAAGGCACAGAGACAGCGATTTAGACAGGTTCGGGCTGTCTGATCGACGTAATACCCTACGTCCTGTGTCTTTGTTGTATTGTATTATATTGAATATGGAATGTATCTAGATGTCGACTAGGAGACCCCTACCTCTCCTTATATACTCTGGAGGGGTAGGATTACAAGGAAAGCATCATATTTGGTACTATACAATATCTTGCGGTGCACGTCGACCAGAGCCGTGCATGCCTTGATCTTGTGGGCTAGGCCACCTCTGATGGTGTGGCCCATGTCTTGTCTTATGGATATCGAGGGTCATATCCCCCACAATCCCCATTTAGGCGCCCGATCCTATTGATCTGGCTACCATTGTCATTGTCGCGCAGCAGATCGGGATCTCCCCTATGTCATCGCCGAGCCGCCGCCACCTCGTCCCTAGGCTCATCGCTGGCTGTCGCCGTCAACACCTTCCTGGTCTTCGTCGCATGGGGGCAGAAGGATCTCGCCCTGTCCCGTGCCGCCGTGGTGGCGACCAGGCTCAGCCACACGCCCCGACCCTGCGCTATCATGGAGGCAGCCAAATCTGGCGTGTCGCTGCTGTCGGGCGGATTTGCCCAATCACTGATCGGGATTGAGTCGCCCACCGCCCGTCGACCTCGCGTGTGCTACTCTGGCATCGGCATCGAATGGGCCATCGGCTGCTCCAGCACGCCATCGGCTGGGCCTATCGGCTAGGCCATAGGCTATGCATCGGCCGTCCTAGCACCGCTACATGCCCTATCGGCTCATCATCGACACCATCGCCAAGTACTACGCTCATCTTCTCCGAGCAACAGGGCTGCTGATATGTCGCCACATCGGGCCGCAGCATCGCCGCCCATGTGTCCGCTTCGCCGTTGCATCTACATCACCATCACCTGTGCATCGACGACTATGTTGCGCCATCTGTCTATACAAGGTCTTCGTCCAGCTGATTGGGTCTTCGTTATCGAGCTGCCGCTACATGCGCCATCGCTGAGCCATGCTCGCTGGTTGCACCACTTGCGTCGTCGCTGAGCCCTGCTCGCCGACGCGTCACTACCGCACTGCTTCTTCTTCGTCCAGCACAACCACGTCGTTAGCGTCACTGTGGTTGGGGCCCTCTCCCTTGTACGCCCGGTATTGGCAACACCGATGCGTGCTTTCGTCCCCGACGCGTTGCTGGGTCTGGCAAACCGAGCCTGCGCCTCGGCGCTCAAGCGGCTTGATTGCATCGACTTCGGCATCGACCGTCCCGTTCCCACCCCGTCTGCCTCGATTGCATCGTCGCCTTTCTTCTATGTCCACGACAGCCCTGACTGCGTCGACTTCGGCATCGCCTCCTCCCAATACGAGTGCCTCAATGCGTCTCCGTCATCAGCATGGCGCCCCTTGTGCGTCTGCAGCTCCATCGACACGATAACCCGACCATGGCTATTGCGCCCTCACGCTCAGCTACCTCAACATCAGCACAAAGGGCTACCGCCTTGCATGAGGAGTCATCGGCTTCTTCTTCAGCCGCAGCATACACGACGCATCGACTGTTATGACTGCGGGGGGATGTTAACTTTGTCAGCTTCTTCTCCAGTCTCACCGCCTGCAATGCTCCCGCTGTGACTGCGTGGATGTTAGAGTAAATAGGAATAGTACCCCATTGTGTACACACGTGAGGTGTTAGTCCTATGTACCCTATATAATCAGCCCATGATGCCCAATTCAATACATCCAACATTCCACCAATTATATTCTCCTTCACTCTCCCCTAGTCCACTTTTTTTATTGGAGTGCATATGTTAACCACGCTAATATGACTTTCTTGCAAGGCCCATGTCGAAACAATGGTAGTGGGGAGAAAGTAATGCTAGGTTTAGAGAGCACGTCAAATGAACTTGGCGACGAAGAAGATCTCGAGCTTCCATTTCTTAGCTTTAGAGATATTGTCTCTGCGACAAACAACTTTTCTGATGGTAACATGCTTGGACGAGGAGGCTTCGGGAATGTTTATAAGGTAACTATAATGAAATTCCTATACAACACAAGTGTTGTTCGAAATTTTTTATGTTTCCTGACTGATGAAATCATGCAGGGTATGTTGCCTGATAACAAAGTAGTTGCAATCAAAAGAATTGGTAAGGGCTCTAGACAAGGGGTAGAGGAATTCAGAAATGAAGTTGTTCTAATTGCCAAACTGCAACACAGAAACCTTGTCAGACTTCTTGGTTGCTGCATTCATGGAGACGACAGGCTGCTGATTTACAAGTATTTACCAAACAAAAGCTTGGATTGCTTCATTTTTGGTAGTTAATCTCATATTTTCCAGAAATAAATAAATGTTTGCTATAATTACCATGTAAAATTTGTCTGCTTACTTATATAGTACTACTGTACATATAGATCCTGCAAGTAAAAGAGCCCTCGATTGGCCAACAATATTCAAGATAATCAAAGGAATTTCTAGAGGACTTCTTTATCTCCTCTCCAACAGGCCGGATTCAAGGTTGACTATAATTCATAGAGATATCAAAACAAGCAACATACTGTTGGATGCAGATATGAGCCCAAAGATATCAGATTTCGGTATGGCAAGAATCTTCAGTGGAAACCAACAAGAAGCAAATAGTAATCGAGTTGTTGGGACATAGTGAGTAATCCATGCATCATGCTTGATATGTTTTTTATTTTGTTTTTTCCATTCTTTCAATTTGTTTATACTTAGTGCTAACTTTTTATGTAGTGGTTACATGTCTCCTGAATATGCAATGGATGGTGCCTTTTCAGTCAAGTCAGATACATATAGCTTCGGTGTCATACTCTTGGAGATTATAAGTGGTTTAAAGGTCACTTCAACTCAGTTCACCAGCTTCCCTAGCATATTAGCTCATGTAAGTGTTGTGCTATTCTTGAAATGTCCACAATTCAATAAAAATGTGCTGATATCCTATGAACTTGGTTGAATTGGTTCAGGCATGGAGCTTATGGAAAGATGGTAAAGCAATTGATCTCGTAGACACATCAATTGTTGGGACTTGCTCACCAGTTGAAGCTTTGCGATGTATCCACGTAGGACTCTTGTGTGTGCAACACAATCCAAATAGTAGGCCACTTATGTCATCGGTTGTGTTCATGTTGGAGAACGAAACCACATTACGTTCAGTCCCAAAGCAACCCATGTACTTCTCCCAATGGTATTTAGAAGCCCAAGGAACAGGAGAAAATACAAATAGCTCCATGAACGACGTGAGTGTCTCAGTGTTGGAAGGACGGTGAATATTGGTAAGTGGTTAGGTTACATTCGTTTATTTATTAGTATATTGGGACAATAGTTTACAGTATAACTGATACGAATAGTATGTCATATTTTTAGAACAGTCATTACATGATTATTAGGACACCCTGCTCCATATTGCATGGAAATGGAACTGTACTTATTTCAACAAAGCTAAGGCTAGCTTTGGTGGCATAATATATTGCACAAGACGACGTACACCTTGTGAAACTATAATCTGTTCTGAGAATACGTTGAGCATGTACATGCTGCAATATGTTTTCGTCTGTTCTGCCACCGGGTCTTGTTTGCCGTGCGAACTTGCATTGTTCTGAATGTCCGGTGATTGATGTACAGGCTGCCATGGTGAACGCACGAGCGTTTTGTACCCGGCGCGGTGACACTGTCACACTGGTTTTGTTTGTCTGACCGTGAGGTTGATTGGTCGAGTGATCGAGTCGAAGGCTCGAAACCATGAAACTTCATTGTTCAGGGACTCTTTGGCACCGTGAGGTTGGCTAGCTGTTGCAATGTCAACGGGGAATTCCCCGTCGGGGGTTACCGCCCCATCCCCATCCCCGCGAGGGCAAATTTCCCCTGTCCCCGTCCCTGTCCCCGTGAATGCTCATGGGGAGCACTTCTTCCCCATCCCCGTCCCCGCTCGGGGATTTAATCCCCGCGGGGATCCCCATCCCCGCAACACGTGAAGCACGCTCGCCGCCGCCGTCGTGGACGCCATCGACGAGCACGCGGCCAGGAGCGGCCACCTTGCCCGCAGATCTGACCACCACGGTCGCAGATCCGCCTGGAGAAGCCGCTGGAGGTGCTCCTCGGCCAGATCCGCCGCCGAGCTCAAGGGAGAGGGAGGATTCGCCGCCGCTAGAGGTGCTCCTTGGATAGATCCGTCGCCGAGCTCGAGGGAGAGGGAGGATCCGCCGCCGCTGGAGGTGCTCCTTGGCCAGATCCGCCACAGAGCTCGAGGGAGAGGGAGGATCCGCCGCCGGGGTACGCCACCGCCCGCACCCGCGAGAGGGAGGCCGTGCCGCCCCGCGCGATGCCGCCACGGGTGGGCCACCACACCGAGGATCCGCCCGGGCCCGGCCTGGATCCGCGTTGCCCCGCCATAGATCCACCCGGCCTCGGCATGGATCTGCGCCGCCGAGCGCTGTGAGGGCCGCTCCGCCATGATCCGCGCCGGAGGGAGGAGAGAGGACGCCGCTACGGAGGGAGGACGCCGCCGTGAAGGAGGGAGGAGAGGGCGCGCAAGAGGGAGGGAGCCGGGAGGAGAGCGCTGGAGGGAGGGAGAGGGCGCGCAAGAGGGAGGGAGAGCGGACTGCTGAAAGTGGAAGATGAGGCCTGAAAGGGAGAGGGCGAGACAGAGATGGAGGCTGGTGGTGGTGCTGTGTCGGCGCGTCGGCGGAGTGTGTCTGGTGCGGGAGGTGAGATAGATAGAACTAGGGTTAGCCGTAGTATATATATTCGGCTGCGTTGGGCCTTTAGGTGGGCTTTGCCTTACTAGTGCGCGCCTGCATAGCAGCTTAGCGGGCCGGGGATACGGGAACGGGGACGGCGGACACCAAACCATCCCCGTCCCCGCCAGACCCGACGGGGACCAATTTTCTACCGTTTAAATTTTCATGGGAACAAAATTTATACCATCCCCGTTCTCTAATGGGTGAATTCCCCGCGATCTGCTTCCGACGTTGTCGGCCTCTCTGTCTGGGCCTTCTCTGTCTCTCTCTTCTCTCTGTATATATGATTTCCTCTGGGCAGCTGGGCTAGGCCGAAAACACTCGGAGGTCCGAACACCGAAGCCCAGCTAAGTGGCAGTCTGGCAGAGTCCACCCGCAGTCTAGAAAGGAAGAGGTGCAAGCCCAACAAACACGATTTTTTTTTCTTTCTCGAGCATGCAAAAAATAAAAACAAAAAATCACATCATCATTTTGTATTAAGGTACGAGTACAGTCTTACTAGCTACAGTAGATTTTGTATTAAGGCAGAGACCAAGCGCCCTAGCTAGGAAGTTTAGCTGATCATCGTCCTTACAACACGGTAACTTCCTAGGAAAAAGAACTCCCGGCTCAAGCAGCCGAACTTGCTGCCGCCGCCGTGCCGCGTGCACCTTCTGCTCAGCTCAGTGCTTGATCGTGCGTGCAGAGGGTGAAGTGTCGCGAAAACATCTGGTGTTCTGGTCATTCCAAAATTCCAAAGCTCCTACGAAACCTGCACGAACAAGGTGTGGAAACCGCGTGCGTGGCTGCGTTCCAGTCCAGAGGTCCGGCGGCCGCTAGCTGCATGCACAGTCCATATCATATAGTTTTCTTGCAGAACATTCACACCAATCTTGTCATGCATAGTCTATATCATATAGTTTGGCATGAATCTCTGGTAATCAAGTGTGATCATATAGACTCAATTTGACGAAAGTTCCTTTGATTCTTGCAATCTTTGCAAGGGCAGAAGACAGGGTTCCCATTCCCAGCATGGACTTTGGCATCGGTGATAAACTGGCTGACGCCGTGCATATACAGCTTATCCGTTCGGGACAGATACATCCATTCTCAATCCATCTCTGCATAAAAAAAATACTGAGATAGTAATTACAAATAATTAATAAGAAATTGAGCTTCATGAACAACAATTGTAGCTCGAAAGTACCATTTTTTAAAAACATTATTGTACACTAATTATTGAAAAATTAAAATTGGTAGCTCCGGCCCTGTAAATTGAAAATCGTAATAAAAAACAATTATTACACAATATTGAAGAACAACTATACTACTCTACTTCTAAGAACTAATTATAGCATAACATACTAACAATGATGATCTTGACCACCATGGAATAATTAGCTAGGAATTTAAATGTGTTCATAGACACCAACCGTTTAGATGATGGATTCACCATAATTTAAGACTTGCACAAATGTCCAATTGAAAAATTGCTCTCTAGAATGGAGAAAGAACTAGAATGAGAATCAAACAATATAGTCATCAAAACGAAACTAATTAAGCAACAAAATCAAAGGAGTGGATGCTTGATACTAACCTTAAAGCAACAATGAAGAGAAGCGCCTAAACACGCGCCTCTGTTATCGGGACAAAAGAGAGGAGAAAGAAGAGGACAGTTGCAGTCTTTTTTTTTATGCTGTAGGCTTATCACCTTCGATTCTTCGCTAGAACCAACAGTGATAGAGCTTAATCACTGTCGGTTTGTGGTTTGAACCAGCAGTGATGAGTGGACGCCAAAACACTGCTGGTTCAAGCCACAGACCGACAGTGATATAGTGCTTCACTGCCGGTTTTGGCCTAGCCCCAATTATTTTTTCATTTTCGAGCTTATAACCAACAGTAAAGATGCATCACTGCCGGTTCTATAAATTCGACGGTGATGAATGTCCAAATCTGACGTACCGAGAGTCAGAGGCAGCTAACGATGTATCGCCGGAGCTGGCGATGGACGCCGTAATTTAATTACCTTGGACCACGGCGACAGGGAGTGTCGGGCAAGACCCCAAGAGTATATGCTGTGTTCACAAGCAAGCTCACAGCACCTGCTACGTATATACAGCTGATTGCTAGGCCTAGTCGGCACCAGACCAGACGACTTGGTCGGTCACGGCCGGGAGCCCGGCCGGCGGCGCTGGATGCATGGTAAGGTATGCCAAGATCTGAGGGAGCCAGCACTGCGGATCCGGCGGAGGAATTGAAAGGTGCGTGGCGTGCGTCAGCGCGTGCCTTGTTTGAGAGCTTCCGATCCGCTGAAACATGCAAGTCCTCCCGCCCGCGTTTCCGATCGAGACGGGACCACTGTAATGCGTCAACACGTGCGCGCGCGCGCACCGCGGTACACAAGGGTCGTCACCCGGCCCATGTACCATCACATCATGCATGGCAACTTGCGATTAATCAGCATGTTCGTTTTGTCGTATTTGGCTTATAAGTTATAGTTTATCAGCTAACGAACAATATTTTTCTGTCACACCAAACCAGTCAACAGTACTTTCAGCCACGCCTCATAAACCAAACAAGTCCAAACGAACAGGGCGCGGGAGCGCACAGGTGAGATTCGATAAATGCTCGGCGTCGGCGGGGCCGGCCAATCAACGTCAAGCCCTTGTTCAGCCATGGCGGCTGGGTGCTGGCTGGCCACGGCAACAGGTGATTGTCAACCTACGCTACGACGCGCTGCATGCCTGCGTATACAAGTACTACAATCCGGCCAGGTTTATCTTAACCGATGCAGTCTTTCGTCTCCTCCTGCTTCTCTAGTAGTACAGCAAGTACGCAACGCAGGTTTGTGTGTATGGATACCTCTGCTCTGCACCCAAGAACTAACGCCAGAACAATGTGTAACCTTTCTCTTCTCCACTACTGCATTGGCAAGATTTTATTTCAGCGCAGGATCGATGCTCTGTGGCTTTGTCTCGGAATATCGATCCAGGTGGAGGTGACGTCGGTGCTATTAACAGAGACAGTAGCAGTGCATAACTCAGGCTCTGTTCGGCTGCTCGTAAAGGCGCTTGTATTGATTTATACGGCTGATTTGTTGGGAGAAAAAAATATTGTATCATGGCTTATAAGCCGGCTTATAACTCCAATGCCGAGCTCATCGTTTTCCTATATATGATGCCTTCACAAGTTTCTTCATATTTACTTTTACACGGAAAATAGACCCTATAGGCCATTAAATTGGATTTTGATGTTTGATAAACAACATGACTATTTGGACTAATGTTGTTTGCTACTACCTGCATTCTCTTTTATAAGGCGCGGCAGGACATGACACAGTCTCTTAAACTATATTTTGACCATTTATTTATGATATGTTATATTATCTATATTTATAATTTATGATATTTGGATAGTACATTTAATCACCAATCTAACCATATTAAAGTTTATAGTATAATAATTAAAATTGTTAGCTGAATTATTGGTCAAAGATTTTAAAGTTTGACTCTTGATATTTGTGTGTAGCACCCGGTTTTAAGAATAAAACC